TTAGGGTCTCTCTATTTCTGCCAATATTGCTGATTATTGATCGTTCATGTGCTTTTATAATACTTTCTTTGTAATCGTGACTTCCTGTTGGTGGAAATTACTCCCACTTACTACTTTTTTCCTCCATATCCAGCTCTGGTTTCCCCTGAATGAGCTCTGTTCCAGCAGATGTTCCAGACAGAAGCAGAAACAGGAGTTCAGGAGCTGAAACAGCTTCAATAAGGAGCAGAAACTCAAACATTTGGGGTCGTTTTAAACTAAGTCTACTTCTGCTTTTGTTTATGTAAATCTTTATCTTTCAAACTCAGCCGGGAGAGATGAGGCCGTAAGCTTCTGCTTCTGTTTATATCTAATATAATGTTAACTATTTGCAGAGTTTCTTAGAAAAAAGTTTGAGCATAGATAGTTTTAGTCCTGGTCATTTCACATTAACCAACTCTCTATAGGTCAAGCTGCCCCAGCGGTCCGGTAAAGATTACCCAGAGTCCAGAGGCCGCTTTTGGAGTAACCCGACGTTTTTAATTGTCTGGTTTTTTTCCTTTGACCTTAAATTCCTACACAGTTTTTATTTTTATTTTTTTCTGATTTTATGAGACAGAGAGTCCATTGTTTGATTTACAGTAAAGACACTAATTAAACTGGTGGTCTAACAATAATCAAAATGATAACAATAAAAAGCAGATGTGGACAGATGTGGTTGCAGCTATGTATCATTTGAAATGAGAACAAGATGAGACCCAACAGGCTGAAATGTCATCAGGAAAGAAAATGTATGAGTCTGTTGATGCATTCTTCTTATGGATTTGTCCTTGTTGTGGAAACTTAACTCGTTGGCTGCCAAAGACGTCTATAGACGTCTTTTGTGTTTTTCAACGCATACATTTATTTGTGAATAAATTATTTTGTAATTTAAAACCATTTCAGGATGTCGTTTTTGCCGTTTTTTTCCCTTTAAAAAAATGTTTATTATTTTTTCAGAAATAATACAGTGTAGTACAAATGTACATGTGTATTTTTACATTTTCAAACATAAAAAACAAACAAACACAAACACAGGGTGATTGCAAGAGTGTGAGAAAAAACAAAACAAAAAAAAACCTTATTGCATGATTCAACGTTTATTGAATATGGCTGTTTGTAGTCTCAGGGAGTATGTTATATACTCCATTTGGTATATGTCCCAGACCTTCTGGATCCATATATTATAGCAAGGAGACTCAGGTTGGAGCCATCTGATAGTTATGCATTTTAGAGCCGCTGTTAATAATATATTTCAAAATATATTTTCCATCCCGTGTAGCGATAGTTTTAGGTGTATATACCAGACTATATTGGATGGGATTTCCTGTTTGAATATTACTTTTAGGGCATCAGAAATGTCTTTCCAAAACAGATTTAATTTGGGGCATTGCCAAAATATGTGTGTGATTAGCATTATCAGTTCCACATTTTCTTCAACATAATCCTGAGTATGTCGGTCCCATTTTAGCTGACATAGCTGCTGTTCTAAAGAATCTAGTCACAACTTTCCATTTGAATTCTCGCCAGGTGTTTGAATTTGTGACAAGGTGTGACGCCGTGTTTTTGCCGTTTTATAGAAGGACACAAACTTTAGGATCTTTGAGGTGTCACTAAAGCCAAAAAAATAGCATCAAAGACACTTTTCTGCTTGAACTGTATCTTTTCACAAAAAGTTTGTTTTCTCCATTTATTGGTCAAAAACTGGTGTTTTTGTTGAAACCAACCTATGTTCTACTGCTGATTACTAAAGAGTGGGGGAAATATGTATTTGACCCCTTGCTGATTTTGCAGGTTTGCCCACTTACAAAGAAAGCAACGATCTATAACTTCAATCATATGTTCATTCTAACAGTGAAAGACAGAATCCCAAAGAAAATTACAGAAAATCACATTATATGAATTTATAAAAATTGATAACCATCTGATGAGGAAAAATAAGCATTCTTTGTAAGTGGGCAAACCTGCAAAATCAGCAAGGGGTCCAATACTTATTTCCCCCACTGTAGAAAATTTTTTTTTCCTGATGAAAGAACAGTCTACTCTTTCTTTTGGTGTGTTCGGTGTTTACATAGTCATAGCAAAAACTATTCTGTGGCTCTTGAAAAATCTGTCAAAATGCTCAAAAGACTGGCAGTATGGGACTCTCTGTTCTGAAAATGGCTGGCAGTCGATGGGTTAATCTTTAAGTAAACCCCGGACCAGCTCCTCCCACTTCTTAAGTTCTGCTCCACACGGTGACGCCCAGTTAGTCGGCCAGCAGCGGGCCGGGGGGGAGCGTCCGGAGCCCGGGATGGCAGTGAACGCCCCGGGAGTGGCCCTGATGGCCGGGTTCTACCTGCTGGTTCTGGGGACGGGGGTCTGGGCCTCGGCCCGGTCCAGGAGGCAGAGCTCAGCCTCGGGGCTGGAGACGGTCCTGCTGGGGAACCGCAGCATCGGCCGCCTGGTGGGGGTCTTCACCATGACAGGTGGGCTAGGGTTATAGGGTTATAGGGTTAGGGTTATTTTTTCTCTTCTCATGTGCTTATGGCTGAGCTTTTTTTTAAATATTTTTTAAATATGTTCTTTTAACATTGTAATCTTGGTTTTGCAAAAGCACTGGAGCTGTAACAATCATTTAGCTTTTTTCTTTGTTCCTGCTTTTAACTGTGTTTTAACCTTTTTTTTTATTTGTTTGTTTGTTTGTTTGTTTATTTATGCTGTTTTATGCTGTTCTTTTATTTAAAATTTCTTGTCTTAATGTAAAGCACATTGAGTTGCCGCTTTGTATAATTTGCGCTATATAAATAAAAATGCCTTGCCTTTCCTTATAGGGTTATAGGGTTAGGGTTTTAGGGTTAGGGTTATAGGGTTAGAGTTAGGGTTATAGGGTCAGGGTTATAGGGTTAAGGTTACAGGGTTAGGGTTAGGGTTAGAGTTAGGGTTATAGGGTTAGGGTTAGAGGGTTAGGGTTAGAGGGTTAGGGTTTGTTTACTTTCGTTTAATTTCGTTTAATTCTTTAAGTTAACCCCACCCCACCCAGAAACATGACAATATATCTTTTTTTTCTTGTGCCAGTGCTCTTAATAAGAGTTTCATGGCCATAATCGATCAGGATGTTCAGCCCACTCGTTCGTTTGCGTCAGTTATGAGCTTTTATTTTGAAATCCGCCCACAATATAAAGGTTTTACTGTGTGCAAGGGCGTGCAAAAGACAATGAATTGCCACGTGACCTGGGGGCTCCATCTTCCATCTGAGGAAGCAAGAAATAGACATTTTCTCTCAGTATCAGAAAGAGGGGGTCAGAAATGGAATCGGATGCAGAGATCCTGGCAAAAAACTTTAATAGAAATAAAGGCGCACTAAAATGGAGTGGAAAGCAAAGTACAAGACAATAATCACTTTTGAAAACGAGGCAAACAAAGGTATGACCAAAGTCCAAAATAAATATCACTCTGAAAAGAGGATGACAAAAGTTACAAAGTACGAAATCAAAATTACTCTTACGGAACAAACAGGTTCAATGCGTAAGGAAAGGATATATCTATGGTTTGTGGTGGTTAGCACCGTCGGGTTCTGGATTGGAGTCCCTGGGGAACCAGGACCAGAGGGTTCTGGGTTGGAGTCCCGGGGGAACCAGGACCTTTCTGGGTGGAGTCTGCATGTTCTCCTGAGTCTGTGGGTTCTCTCTGGGTTCTCCGGCTTCCTCCCACCGTCCAAAAACCTGCATGTTAGGTTGGTTGGACTCCAAACTGCCCTTAGTGTGAGTGTGTGTGGTTGTTGGTCCTTGTGTGTCTTTGTGTGTCCCTGCGATGGACTGGGGACCGTCCAGGGTGACCCCGCCTCTCCCCATTGGCTACTGGGATAGGCTCCGCCCCCCCGACCCCATTAGGGAATAAGAAGTTATGATAATGGATGAATGGATGGGTTTGGTTTAGCTCACATGATCAGGGAAGACATGTGACAAACAGGGGACCTGAAACAAGGGGGTGTACCTTTCAAAATAAAACAGGAAATGATAAAGACAACCATGGAGACAGGACAAAAACACCAACAAATCCCCCAGACGTGACAGAGGGAAGATTTCCATATAGGAGGAACCGAACTTCCCCCCAAATCCCCTGAGAGATGAACCAACTGGTGCCACAGATCAATTGATTTTATTGATGTTCCAGCTACATTACACCCCCAATCACACTGGTACTAACTTGCAGTCAAAAGATACCACACTTTAAATATTCCAAAAATCACTGAATATACATCAAACTGGATTTTTGTGTAACTTCAAAGGAATGATTCAAAACTTGTTCAAATCACTTTGGAAGTGTACCAAATCACATTCCATGACTTCACAACCAAAATCTCACTTGCATTCACTTTCAGTCAAAAGATATCACACTTTCCAGTAAAAATCCAGAAATAAGCTCCTTTGGCCATGAAATGCACACAACATGATTTTGCTATAACTTCCCAGTAATTAATACAATCTAGGTCAAATAACTTTCAAAGTGTTATTCAGCACATCCCCTGCCTTGTCAGAAAGAATCACACTGGTACTAACTTGCAGTCAAAAGATATCACACTATCAAAATTCCAAAAATCTAACACATATACAGTGGGGGAAATAAGTATTTGAGCCCTTGCTGATTTTGCAGGTTTGCCCACTTACAAAGAATGCTTATTTTTCCTCATCAGATGGTTATCAATTTTTATAAATTCATATGATGTGATTTTCTGGAATCTTCTTTGGGATTCTGTCTTTCACTGTTAGAATGTACATATGATTAAAGTTATAGATCGTTGCATTCTTTGTAAGTCGGCAAACCTGCAAAACCAGCAAGGGCTCAAATGCTTATTTCCCCCACTCTACATCAAACAGGGTTTTTGTGTAACTTCAAAGGAATGATTCAAAACTTGTTCAAATCACTTTGGAAGTGTTCAACATCACATTCCATGACTTCACAACAAAACTCTCACTTGCATTCACTTTCAGTCAAAAGATATCACACTTTCCAGTAGAAATCCAGAAATAAGCTGCTTTTTGGGTCTCCCTTCACCCCCCCCCCCCCCCCCCCCCCCCCGCCACCTGGGTGGGAGGAGGCTCCATCGTGGGAATGGCTGAGATGATGTACACGCCGTCCATGGGCCTGACCTGGACCCTGGTGCTGCTGGCGGCCTACAGCTCCTCCTTCATCCTCGGTAGGTCCAGGTGTTCTGTCCCGGGGGGGGCAGTCGGGGCTCAGGCTACTGGGGGGGCACAAGGAAATGTGTATGTTTCTAAATGTCCTGTGGCTTCTTCTTCTTCTTCTCCTTCTTTTTCTTCTCCTATTTCTTCTCTTCTCCATCTTCTTCTTCTTGTTCTCATTCTTCTCTTTGTAAGCCCGATTCTTTAGTGGAAGCCTGAGAATAAACCAGAGCAGATAGATAGATAGCTCAAATTTGTGAACCTGCCCTGCAGAGATCAGCCCAGCCGACGCTCAAAGGCTAAAGTTCAACCAAAGCTGAGCTAAAGTTTGACTTCCTTTGGGATTTTGTGGTTGGTTGAATCCCTCCAGTGTGCAAAGGGGGCAAACCTCTGCTTTGTCGTTGCATTTGTGTCCTTAAAGGAGACATATTATGCAAAACCAAGTTTTTAATCGTTTAATTCTGTTCATTTGGGACTGTGGAGGGCCTATCAGCAGGCAAAGTGTGAAAAGTCATGTTTTTGTGGGCTGCCTCAGTCTGAATCCAGGAGATAAATCAGGAGGTTTCAGGAGTGGGTAGTTTCTGACGTCATTAGCTCTAGCTCATTATAATATTCCAGCCTTTCACCTGCATGTTGCCCCCCCCTCTCAGCTTACTCCCCTATCTGTGGAGACGTCGTGGTAGCGTGAGCGTTAGCATGGTAGCGTTAGCATGGTAGCGTGAGTGTTAGCATGATAGCGTTAGCATGATAGCGTTAGCATGATAGCGTTAGCATGGTAGCGTGAGTGTTAGCATGTAGCGTGAGCGTTAGCATGGTAGCATGTAGCGTGAGCGTTAGCATGGTAGCGTTAGCATGGTAGCGTTAGCATGGTAGCGTTAGCATGCCGACGTGGCCACACCTCCAAGAAGAAGTGGGTGGATTGCCTGTGTCTCATTTGCATTTAAAGAGACAGGCACTCCAAAGCGAGCGCTCTGAACGGGGCTGTTTTGGCAGGGGGACTGAACTGCCCTTGGGCTTCATCGTTATGGGATTTGGACCAAAGCTTGTCACAGACATTACATTAGGACACCAGAGAACTAGCTTAACTTGTTGAAATAGGGTATAATATGTCTCCTTTAAATCTGTTGCTTCTTCTGTCCTGCTGCTCATCCAGGGGGCTTGGTGTTGGCCAAACCCATGAGAGACAGGAACTTTGTGACCATGCTGGACCCCTTCCAGCTGAGATATGGGAACGGGATCACCGCCGGCCTGAGCCTGGTCTCCGTCTTTCTGGACGTGGTCTGGGTGGCCGAGACCTTAATCAGCCTGGGTTCGGTTTGATACCAACTCTGTGCACTCACATGTCCT